TCGGATTTTGCATATTTTGTTAACGATTAGAAAGCGTACAACGAAAATTATTTCTTTATCGTATTTAGAAGGGAAAAAAAACATTAAAAAGTAGCGTGAACTGTTCAGTGTTGGCGCCAGCTAACGTAAGAGGGCCGCGAAACTATTGTACGAAGAAGGCCTTGAAAACACACGAGAAAATCTTACACATATAAAGTTCTCCCGTCGAAGTCTTGACGGCCCATAATCTCAAACTAAAAATCCACTAAAATACCAAGGACGCCAAAATATAGTATTACACAAAGTTCTATTTCCGGTCGATTATCGGCTGAAACACACTAGTGCCGTTACACTGCTTCCCTAAATGCTTGTCATTTGAAAATAATCAAATAAATGGAATTACAAATGAATGGGATAATGTCAATCTAAACTTGCTACCTTTGATAAAAGGCATTGTTTCTGTATCTCTTAATCAAAACACCATTACAACACTAAATGTCATTCTCAAATAATCACATTGATAACTGAAACTAAGATGTATAGGTAACGATATTGTTTCTTGTTCAGTTCAAGACTGTTATATCAGGCAGTTTCCTACTTCCTGCTGATTAGTGTTAAATTTCTTCTCTTGCTAGAAGAAGAACCAGCTTGTGGATAGGTCTGTGATATTTCTTGTGTTGTCCGTCTCTCGTAGTCATGATCTGTACCTTGCGGATCAGTCCATCTTGACTTGGGTAGGTTTTCGTTATCCTAGCGAGTGGCCACTGGTTTCTTGCTGCATCGTCTTTACGTAGAAGGATAATGTCGCCAACTTGGCTGTTCCGTTGTTTCTTGTTCCACTTACGTCTGTTGATAATCAGGTTCAAGTACTCCCTCTGCCATCTTGACCAAAACTGATTGGCCAAGTACTGAACACGCCTCCATCTTTTTCGGCAATAGACGTCAGGACTTTCGAACTTCCCAGGTGGTGGCAGGATTACAGGTGACTTGCCTGTCAGGAGGTGGTTTGGCGTCAGTGGTTCAGGGGCTGTAGAATCGGACAGATTGGAAACTGTTAGGAGCCAGCTGTTAATAACATTCTCTACTTCCGTCATAAGGGTTCTGAACGATTCATCATCCAGCTGGGTGCCCAACTTGTTTAGCAGTGACGAGATGACCAAAAGGGCTGTTCTTATCATCCGTTCCCATACGCCGCCCATATGAAAAGCGTGCGGAACGTTGAACTTGAACTCAGTCAGTTCGCAGTCGTGCTTGCATAGGAAGCCTTTGATCTTGGATGTATTGAGTTCGTTGTTCGCACCGACAAAGTTGGTGCCTTGGTCCGACCTCAGTATACGTACTTTGCCTCTTCTGTTAATGAAACGCCTGAGAGCGTTTATGAAGGAGTCCGTGTCCATGGAATTCAATGTCTCTAGGTGGACTGCACGCGAAGAGAGACATGTAAAGATCAGACCATAGCGTTTGAGGGGTTCCCGTCCTTCCTTGACGAGAAAGGGGCCAAAGACATCCATACCAGAGTACGTAAAAGGGGGTGCGGGTTTGATGCGCTCCACGGGTAAGTCAGCCATTTTCTGTGTTTGCAGCTTACCTCTCTCTTTGCGACAGGTGATGCACTTGGAGATGTTGAATGCTATCACCGATCATCCGTTGATGATCCAGAAGCCTGCTTGACGTACAGCTTTAAGCGTTGCGCTTCTTCCTTGATGGTGAATCACCTCGCAGTGGAAATGACGAACGATGAGCACTGTGATGTGACTTCTTTTAGGGAGTATCAGGGGGTGCTTGATTTCATATGGGGCGTCTGAGGTGGTTATGCGTCCGCCAACTCTGAGTAGACCGTCTCGGTCAACGAATGGGTCTAGACGGAAGAGAGAGCTCTTCTTTTTGAGGCTCGAGTTTCTACTTCTTGTCGCCTTGCAATCCTGAAATTGGTTGTCGTTTCCTTTCAGCTCTTTAAGGATCCTTATCTCTCCGCCAAAGTGTTCGTCTTCAAGGTTTCAAATGATTAGCTTCTCAGCCTCTTGCAGTTCCGGCACTGTGCGTTCGTGAGAATCAGTTTCTTTGGGGGTGGTTTTCTTGGAAAGAACTCTTTCTCTTAGTCTTCTGATGCCGTGTCGAATGGCGGTTATCCACAACTTTGCCTTGTGCCATGTCCAAAAACGTTCAATATACATGTGGATGGGCTGCGGCGGCTTGACTTCAGCCCCCTTTCTGAGGAGTGTTGTGGCTTGTGCTTCGGAAGCTTGGTCTTCGATCTTAGGGCCTGTTCTGACTTCCATGTCGTCGTCTGCTAATTCAGTGAGGTAACGAGGTTCACTGAAGAAAGGTACATCTGCTTCCCAAAGCATGTCTGGATCTCTGAGCCATCGGCAGTTGTTTAAGAGTTCCTTGGCTGACATAGAGCGGGAGGCTTCGTCTGCGGGATTGTCTTTACCTCTGATGTGATTCCACTGAACTGGGTCTGTGCGGTCTCTGATGTACTGAACTCTGTTGCCAACATATACATGGAAACGTCGAGCGTTGTTATTGATGTAACCAATGACGATCTCCGAGTCTGTGTAGAAGGCGCACTTTAGGTCCTTGTAATTGAGCTCGCTCTTCAGCATGTCGGCTACATTTACAGATATGACGGAGGCTGTTAATTCCATCCGTGGTATAGAGATGGCTTTCAGTGGTCCGACGCGTGACTTGGCCATGAGGAAGCTAACGTGGACCTCACCGCGTGCATTAACTAGACGGAGATAAGATACTTGTCCAAGCCCGTCGTCGCTTCCATCAGAGAAACTGTGGACTTCTGCTTTCACGGGGATCCCGAATCCTGGGGGCTTAACACATCGATCTATCTTTACCTTTTCTAAAAGAGGCAGCTCCGAACGCCATCTTTCCCATTTCTGAGCGATGTCATCGGGTACCGGGTCGTCCCATCCAACGTTTTGTTGGCACAGAATTTGGAGAAGCTGCTTACCCGCCAGGATGACAGGTGAGACGATTCCGAGGGGGTCATAAACAGAACTTGTGGTTGACAGGATTCCCCTGCCTGTTAGAGGCTTGTCTTTCAACTCTATCCTGAAGCCTGGAGTGTCTGACTCTATGCACCAATAATTACCCAGTGATCGTTGAAATGGTAACGCGTCGTGTCTCAGGTCCAGGTCTTTGAGGTCTTTAGCTCTATCGCCTTTGGGTATAGCTTCGAGTACTTTCTTGCTGTTGCTCGCAAATTTTTGGAGACGGAGATTCTTCGCTGCGCACACGGCTTGGTTCTCTTTGATGAGCTTGACGGCGTGGTCTAAGTTTGGAGCCGACTTAAGTCCGTCGTCGACATAGAAATCTTTCAGGAGAAAATCTGCTGCTTCGTCTCCGAACTCTTCTCGGCCGGCTTTGGCAGTCTCGTGAAGACAGAAGTTAGCTACTCCTGGAGAGGACAAAGCTTCCTTCGAACCACAGGAATCGCAGAAAGTCTTTGCTTTAGGGTTCACAAAGAAGCTGTGAAACATTTGCTCTACGTCACATATGAAAGCAATGTCATCTTTCCGAAACCTGAGAAGTACCCCGACCAGGGCATTCATCAAGTCTGGTCCTTGAAGTAGGTGCTTGTTTAGTGACTCGTTATCGAACACAGCACTGCAGTCAAATACTACTTACCGGCGTTTGCATTGCTACGCGTCCACCCCAGACAAAAATCGCGACGTGCACTTTGCAATAGATTGCCGTYAATCAAACAAGTTGACGTCATTTACACGCGTTTGGATCGGCCCGGATAGGCCCGGTGAGTGTTGCTCATAATACTTGTAAACAATCGACCGAAGTTTTGGGGCCTTTTGAATCACACACGCGTGAATGGTTAGCGTATGGGCGGGATAATCTCTTTCATCATTCCGTCCAGCTTATTGACGCCAACGGTCCTGTTTTTGTACCACACGTCGTCTGTTGGGGACCAATTTCTCTTCGGATACTGGAAGAGGGATTCGCAATTTGGATTGGTCTTTGACAAATACAAGCGCAGAGCTTTGTAGCCGTCGTTTGGGTAGTCAGTTTCATACATTCGAGCTTTTTTCTCTGAGGAGTTTACATCATGTATGCCGCCCGGGTGGTTCTTGGTGGCTTCGTCGTGCGCCATTGTAGCGTAGTGTCGCCCGCTTGCATCAACTTCAAACTTCAAGCTTGATGTCTTTTAGCTCTCGCTGGCCTTCTCTTCCTCTCCGACAGAAAAACAAGATCAGATGGAACCAGACATTCCTTAACAGATTCCATGGATCATTAAGGGAGAGAGCCTTGGAAGTTTTCAACTTCAATAGATCTTGATTTTCTATGACTGGCTTGTGTTGTGTATCCTCCGTGTTTTTTCGCTTCATTTGAACTAGCTGGGCATCAAGCATCTCATTTGAACGGTTCATCGCACAGAATTGCCCATCAACTCTAGTCATTTCTAAATAAGAGAGATTATGTGAAGAATGGGGAATCATTTTTTAAAGAAACACTTTAACATCTTCATACTATTAAAAGGATTTGAAAAAGGTTTGAAAAAAACGATTAAAAAATATTTTTTAAAGCCAAATTCGCGGGCATTTTCTCCAAATTAGGTACCAGTCTCAACTCGGACAGATTCTCGAACCAGTACCAAAATATATGCTTACTTCGTGAGCAAATTTTTCCGTTTTAAAGCGAGATCTGGAGACAAAATTATGGATTTTGAACAATATATAGGCCAGGTTTCTAGGGCTATACAAATGGCGGTAGAAGGATGAAAAATAGTCATCATTTCGAACTGTTTTGCTTTGTTGGGTCAAAGTTAAGTGATGTTAAGTATTAACATAGGTTGATGGGAGTGGAGCGGAAGGGATTCGGTTACCTGTCACAAAGACATAGCTATGTAACTAGATCACATACATTAAGTGTAGTGTTTCATATTGCAGTGTTCGTCTTTCTGTAGTCTACATGTTTTCACCCTACCCTCCCTCCCCAAAGTCAGCAGTCGTATTGTCCAAATATGAACATTATTAAATTGCTCTATTTTAGTACAAACATGCGTATTGTATGATTTGTGTTATGATATTAAAACTCCTGAAAAATCGCTACTTGCTTTCAGCTTCAAAGAGAGCTGGATTTTGGAAGCAATTGAGCAATGGTTGGGCAACCAATTTCAGTTGTTACTTTGAATTATTTTCTTCACGACCATCAGCAGGACCCGAACAAAGTACGGGAAAGATAAATTTCCATACATATTAACACTACGAAACTTGAATTTGGCCCACAAAAAATCGCATGTTGGCAAATTGAATCACCGAAATAAATGGTAAGCTTATATTATGTGGTTGTCATTCTTTAATATTCCTGTGTTACCTTTCTTGCATTAACTTTCGATTTTCTTCAGGAAGCGCTTAAACTTTCAATATATATATATATACACACCTAACCAAAACAATTCTGTAACTTCAGATATATATATGTCTTTTGTCGATAGCCGAAACGATAGAAAAACAAAAGACATATATATATGTAAAGTTGCAGAATTGTTATGGTTAGGTATATACATATATGTATATATATATATATATACAGCGATATGCAGAAATTCTGATCCAACCAAGTATATAGTATATAACTATATCGGGTGCATTATGGGTAATATAGACCCGCGGGATTCAAAGCTAAGCACCAAAGCGTTGGCTGGCCTACCGAGTGTTGTTTACGAACAGCACTAACGTCAAGAGGCGGGAATGGGTTCACTTTTTAATACCTCTACACTATTAGAAAAAAAAGTCATATTGTAAACGGTTTTATTGAGGTAAAGTGAAACATTGGAAGTTTTGCAATTGGTTGAGTTTAAAATCAGTTCTGAAATCGCTCTCCTTAGAAGTTTCGGTTGAGCTGAGCTCAACTCTGAACTCGTTCTTCGCTTATTTATATGTGCCCTTCTAAAACAATCAAACACTCCGAGGACAGCAAAACCAAAACATTCGGTAATATGACTTATGACAAAAGTGGTACAAAATTTGTTCATGAGCTACTCTGGATAGGATATTTTGCTTTATTCGTAGTCTACCGTGTTATTGTTATTGAGTGTCAACTCAGTCAAATCTCAGTTGATAAACAGGCTGAATATAATTTCTAGATAAACGGAGGTTATTCTTACTTAAAAGAGGCATATTCTTCCACTTCTCCTCTGATAGCTTAGTAATTCTTTGTGGTTACTTTTTCTTTTATTTCTCTCTCTCTCTCTTTTGGCTCAAGCTATTAAAAGCTTTGCAATTTTATGCAAAATAAGTTCACCCAAGAGAGAGAAAGTTTGAATATTAATCATCATTGCACTAAAAGCCGTTTGTATTAATCAAAATTGCATAAAATAAACAGCGGTTTATATTGAAAAAAACGCCGACTGTCGAGTCCCTTGCAGGGTGAAAATTCTTTTACTGGTTGGAAAAAGCGGAATTTATTTTCAAAGGTAACTTATCTTTAAACAAAACGCCAGCCAACGCTTTAGTGCTTTTAATCCCGCTTTGAACCCGCGGGTCTATTACCCATAATGCACCCGATATAGTTATATACTATATACTTGGTTGGATCA